GGTATGAACACTCAATTAAGACTCAAAAAGATTATCTAAAATAAATATGTGAAACACAATAAGGGTTTTCCCTACATTTCTGTGCTTGAAGTAAAGTTTGTCTGTTATCAAAATAAAACTTGCAGAATTTTCATCCATAGCTGATTAACTTTGGACTGAACTAAATTAATGATGGCTGCCACAGCCAACCAGCTTTCAAAAAACACTAAAATGACTACATCTCAGTCAGATTTACAGAGATCTCAAATTTGAGCTCTTTGCTTCCAACTTTACTATTAATTACTGGAGCCAGTCCTGAGAGCAAAACATTCCACAAACCAATGAAAAGAGTTTAATGAAAGTCGGTAAATAGTCTTTAGAAGTACATCTTATGTTTGTTTGTTTATGTTTTGTCTTGTGAACGGGTGTTCTGAACTGTACTTTCCCCTTGGGATCAATAAAGTATTATCAATCAATCAATCAATCAATCAATCAATCAATCAATCAATCAATCAATCAAAACTGATTAACTTTCAAACACAACTCAGTTCAATGTGGTTTCCAGTATTAATCAACATTAGCAAACAAAAAATGGCTCTAACCACTGTAATTTATAGACTTTGGGCTAAAATTTGACGATAGTAGTCAAAAGACATTCCCACATCTTGTGATATTTGCCAACTAAATCAAATTTAAATCTCGCTCTATGTTTTAACCTAACATGTAGAGGTATGAATAGAACCATGAAGATTTTCTTTTCCCTGCAGACAAACACCCAGAAACCACAAATCAGACCTGATGTGACACCCTGTTACTGTTCTCTCGTGAGAGCCAATATAACATCCGTGTTAACACCGCTAAGAGATAACATCTTGTGTTATTCATATTTTAATATCTTGTTCTGAGAAATATTTTAGAGGGTCCTAATTATAGTCAATAATTCATCCTTGTGTTTTAGACCCTGAACATCCGAGGTCTTGTCCTTGACTTCTGCAGCAAATGCAACCCTAATTGAGTCTCTGCCAGATGAAGTTATGGCACAGAGTCGTGTTCTGAAGGGCGGTTGCTTGATTTGCAGCTTAAATGAAGTCAGCCGAGTGGCGGAGTGCATTAATGCAATTTCCAGTAGCTTAATGAAAGACTAATTATGGCTTCTCATAAAAGGACAGACAAAGAGGTAAAAGGAGGATGGGAGCTAATATGCTTTGATTTAGTGTTAAGCTTCTGGCGTCACCATCATCGCTCCTGCCAAGCCAAAGGGAACATAAGAAGACTGTGGAGTGGGGGGATGACAGGAAGCCAGGATGGATGGAAGATAATGATTGGATTCAAATGGAAATTAAAATGTGTCTTGTTTATTTGTAAAATATATTTTTTTTAAAACGCAGCTGAGGTCATCTAGTAAAATAATCTCCACAAAAAACATCCAAGTGTGTACTTACAGACAACAAACTGCGTTCATATGTTTAGTTTGAGCTCCATTTTGTAAGTGGGTGACTGATAAAAGCATATAGCACAATACAAATCCTAGCCAGCTTAACTAGCTGTAAGAAAATTTGTATTCAATCAACTGAAGTCGAGACGCTAAACACAGATGTTAAATAAAGTGGTTTGTGGGAGGAATGAAAACCATACAACACCAGAATCTGGAGTCTGAGTGGTGTTTTATCGCTGCTGTCTGCAAACAGGAAACCCACACTGGCCATTAAACCGGAAGTTTACGTTTTTATTCTCCAGTGCCCTCGCTCTCCCCCTGCTGGCCTACGGCTGAGTCACAGGCATTCAGACACAATTCTCACCTAATGTGTTTCAAGCGTTTATTTATGTGTTGAAAAAATGTTTCGGACATGTAACTAGACCTATTTCAATCAAGACATAACAATAGATTAAACACTGTCAATGTTTCAAAAAGGAGAACTTAAGAATATAGTGTTGTGCTTCTAAAATCAGTACTAACCTACCTAACACTAAATTTCTTCACATAGCGATCCCAAAATACAGTATGTCTTCCTCTGTTGGGTCTATTCACTGAAATAGAAACACACTCAAATAGCAACCCACAGGTTAAGTTAAGGAAGTCAAAGAGCCCAATGTATTAACATTAATATTTGTTATAATTAACAAACTTAAACTTCAAAAAACATGGTAGGATATTTCATAGCTATGCATTTTAGTTTGTAAATATAGAAAATGTGACCTTTGTAAATTTTATCAGTATTTTCCTATGTATATGCTGATCTGTGCTGTCAGAAAATGTGTTTCTTTGTTAAATGGATAAAATATATAATAATAGTGAGTTAGAGTGCATCCACTTCTAAATTGAAATATATGTTATATATAGGCCTAAATTATAAGGAAATAAATGGTTATTTTAGTGTATTTCTATTTCAGTTGACCGTTAATGTCATATTAGGGTTCAAACCATCTTGTCTTTGTGTCCAAACGGCAGTACCTTTATTCGTTCTGGCTCAACAATATGTTGTCTGGTTGGGTTAATTGTGACGACTCAAGCAATGTGAGCTCCAAACTTGCTTGCACGAACCTAATTTTGACATCACTCCTTAAAGGAAACCAATAAGTGTCGTTAAACAGCAATACAGACAGATGGAAAAAAACAGTAAAAAAAAAAAAAACATGGAGTTTAAGCTGTTTAAATTTCTCAATCTTAGAAAAGTGACGTCTGATCTTATCTCCTTCTCTTTGTCCACGCTGTGATTTGTTCATTGATCAAAAAACCTAGAACTTTGCTCGCTCCGACAGATTTAAATGCACAAACATGCACTTCAGCACCAGCTTCTAAAACAAAAGACACTCCGCTAAGATATGATATTGAAGTAGCAAAAAGTTGTTTTCCAACAAGTTAATGCTTATCCATCAATTAACTTGTGTTAAGAGGAGACAAAGATTTGTTATTTTTGTTTACTTTTCCTAAAATACAACTGGTAAAATTTAACATCTATTCAGAAAAGGTGTCTTGTCTTGGTCAAGACAGAAAAGAGTCCAAAGACAACATTTAGCATCCAATAAATTCAATTC